CTTAGAATATTACAGCCAGCCTGAGGTCAAGGGCACGATGGAAGCTCTGTCCTCCTTCCACTTCCAAGAAAGCAAGGCTTCTGCCTCTTTATCTTGTGAGCTCTTGCGAGAAGGTTGAGAAGGGCACAAAGCACAAGTGAGCACAGAAACTGGAGGCAGGGGCACTACTCAGCCCGTAGCTGCCAAGAGGAGCCGCCAATCAAACAAGCCCACAAAGGGAGACTGAGGGCCGCAGCAGGGAACTCACAAGGAGGGAACACGGGGACTCCGAGGCTGGATGGAAAAGAGGCTGGATGGAACGATGGCAGCAGACGCAGGCAGCCGTGGGGGGGGGGGGGGGGGGGGGGGGGGGGCTGCTCCCGCAGCACCTGGCAGCCCTCTGGCTGGCTGCAGGGGACACACTGCCGGGGAGTTATTTGGGGCCGGCATCCAGGAAGGGTGCAGAGAAAAAAGAGGGCAGAGGCCTTGGAGGTTGGTAACAAATACACTGTGAAAATACCAGCCTCAGCACCCGAAACGTTGGCCAACTCGGACATTAGGACGGGGACAAGGGTCTGGAGGTTATAGAGGATGAAAAGGCACATGCTCGAAAGTCCCGGAGGACACGGGACATCCTCCGACGAGAGAAGGGGAGGCTTCACACTTGGCGATCCCCTGAGCAGACCAGTTCAAGGGATCCTGTGTTGGCTCATTCGCTCATTCACTCATGTCCCTGGAAGCTAACGACACAGAATCTATTCGGAGGCCTCAGGGATGCTCCCAAAGTCCGGGCCAACAAGAGGAGGCCAGGGGGATGCGGCTGGCAGGCTGCGGCAGGCCAGCGTGCTTTGTTCCATCTTTCCACCGCCCGCGCCTGACGGAGCACACACTCGCTTCCCCATCACTCCTCCCAAGCCCTACAGCTTCCCCCCAGCGGCTTCGCAAACACACCGACCCCGACCCCAGAAGACATCTGTGCTTGCGACCCCTGGCCAAGCGGCTCTAGTCCACTGTCACCTGACTGTTCTCCTACATGCTCTCAGGCAGCGTGTGCCCAGCCCCAGATGACCACTCAGCACTGACCATGGTGCCAGGCTGTCGGGAGGGAACCGCCAGGTTTGCACCGAGCACGGGAACATGGGTAGGGTTAGGACAGGCGGGGGGCCGAGGCAAGAGCACCCCTGAAAGCCAGATTATTCCTGCGGCGAGGGGGACAGTGCTGAGGGCCTCGTGGCTGGGAGGCACAGAGGGTATTCCAGAGGAAAGAGGAAACCAGGCTGGCATGTGGGGGCAGTGCCTTTAGAGGAAGAGGAAGACAAGGCAGCAAAGACCTCATGTCAGTTTCAACTGACGCCCACACCAAAGAGGGCAGGTGTGGCGAGTCCCAACCACGTGCAGCTCCCCACTCACCTCTGCGCTGCAGCTATGAAACAAGAGTGAGTCGATCAGACCTTAAGGAAATGTGGATACTGGGGCTCTGTGAGCAGGATAATGCTATTCCCAATCCTATAAAACCAAAGTGCTATGGGCCACGGGAAATAATGCTGTGAAACGCCCCAGCTGCTCAGCAGCAGGGTGCCGCCAACGGCCTGGGGACTGGGAGCACAGGCGGAGGGGTCAGACAGGGCTGCGAAGTCCGCCCTCAGGACTGGCGGGGAGACTCTGGAGAAATGGGTGACCCCTTCTGAGCCTCAGTTTCCTCCTTTGTAAAATAAACACACTCATAGTTTACTTGGCAGGGCTGCTACGGGAATGAAAGAGAAGGGCCGTGAAATGCTTTGTGCCTAACATAAAGCCAGCACTTCATAACAATCAGTTGTATTATTATTATTACTACTATTATTATTATTATTATTATTGTCATATAGGGCTTTGGTTTCGTTAACAGAGTATATCTAAGCAGTGGAATCTGTGCGACCTTTAAATATCTTGCGGTCGAAGACTATTTATTTACATAACAAGTCACAACATGTGGACAGGTCTGGGGGCACGAAGGCACACTACAAGCAGCACAGTTACTAGGACTTCCCGTGCATGATTCTGGGTAAAAACAAGTATCCATAAACACAAAAACTGGAGAAACACACTGCTTTTACCTCTCTGTTTTTCTATGCTCTCTAAGAGGAGGAAAGAAGTTATTTAATAATAAAATAAAAGTAATAACACAACCACCACTTTGGGCACGGCTTTTCGTTTTCCAAAGCTTTTTCATATGACCTTGTTTTTACACTATTTACACTAATTTAACTTCTAATGAATGCGATTGAACTGTTATTCTGCCAAATGCCTTTAAGCCAAAATCCTGAAATCCATCTACCTAAGCCCCAAAAGGACAATGTTTCCACTAAGACCATCTTTTGTGGACACCTTTGCTAACAATCAAGTAGCTGGCTTTCCCAGTTAACAGAGCAGAGACACTAATCCATCATTGAAGCCAGGGCTTTCTGCAAGTAGTTTTAAGAAGTGATGTTTGGGCTAATGATGCAATGGGGCAAGGGAGTAGGAGCCATTAGTTAAATCAGGGGTCTGAGCCACATGCCCCAAGGCCTGGCTAACCTTGCGTGGCCATATGATGCTAAACATCTGAAATAAACAGTTCTTCCCAACACACGTCCCACATAAAGATCCCACGGGAAGACCGCCAGCCGCTGCCCCCACCAGCCCTACTCTTCCTCTTCCTCGGTAATAGCCCCTGATGATCAGCTGGGCTCACGGCCACCCAGATTAGAGTCCTGCACCTCCCAGCCTCCCCTGAGCCAGCTGCGGCTCTATGATTACATTCTGGCCAATGACTGCAAGCAGATGCGTTTTGGTGGACTTTTGGGAGGACGACAGGAGCCAACTCGGCTCCAGGAACACCTTTTTCTGTGCTTCTGCTTTTCCTCCTCCTTCAGGCCTGTTACTTGGACCAAATAACTGGCATTTCCGCTGCCATCAAAGACCACAAGGCAAGCCTGAGGGCGCGAGCCACGCACTGGGACTGGACTGAAAAAGAGGAGCCCACATCCCTGATGACACTGGGATGTCGGAAGCCCTGCAGACTACTTTTCAAAGACAAATGAATGTACACCTTGTTTTAGCCACTATTATTTTGGTTTTTAGGTTATGTGCAGTCAAATCTGACCTTACTGAGGATTGTATGTCAACACAGGATGCTGTCCGTGTTCCACTGCCGGTGACAGCATGTGACTTTTTAAAGCAGATGACCAGGATAGTAGAGCACTTTAGTCACCTTTCCACGGAGCCTTTTGTAACAGTTAGATGTTTATCACCAACTACTTTCTTTTTTCCACAAAGACAACCCGCCTATATACGTACTCTTTTCGCTAGTGGATCTAAATCAGTGAACACATATGATTCCTAGAAATCTGTCCTCACATGACAGTGACCAAATCCAACTCGCCAGAACCCTAATAAAAACCAAGAGGGGGCGCGTCTGGGTGGCTCAGTCAGTTGGGCGTCTGCCTTCGGCTCAGGTCGTAATCCCAGGATCCCGGGATTAAGCCTCACATCGCACTCTCTGCTTGTTGGGGAGTCGCCTTCTTCCTCTCCTCCCCACACGTGCCCACTTGCTCTATCTCTCTCTCTCTCAAATAAATAAAATCTTGAACAAACAAACAAAAAACCCAAGGGAAACAGGCCAGCATCCCCAGGTCTGCAAAACACAGCGAAGTTGTGACCCTCCAACTGGTGGGTAAAAACGAGCATAACATTTCCAAAACGATTTTTTAAGTCACGCACACAGAAGACATGGGAGGATATGCCAAATGTAATAGTTATACTCCCTGAAGGAAAACATTACTGGTTACCCTTCTCTTTTTTATCTACACTGCCCAATTTTTGTACAAACATCTACTTAAATAATTTTAAAATGTATTTTTCCCCCGAAACAAACACTACATTATATCTTAATAATAAAAAAATAAAATCTTAAGGAATGATAAAATAAAAATAATTATAACTGTCCAAGAAAAAACCAACAGCAAAACAACAACAACAATGTATTTTTAAAAGTAAACGTTCATAGTAGTATCCACAGAAAATAAACCACATCTGGAACTGCTCAGAACAAAATAAAGTCTGAAGGAATTCTGGGCGCAGTGCGGAAGGAGACAGACATTGAAGTTCCCGGACCCACACCGCCTCCCCCAACCCTAATGCCCTCCTCTCCAGACAGGGTGCTTGAAACGATTTTAAGCATTTCCTGTTTAACAAACGTCATCCTTTCCATCACTCAGTTCAGGCAACAGAGGGCACAAATTACGACACAAAAGCAGCAGAGTCCCAGCGTCTGCAGGTTCCTCCGAGGAAAGAGACTGGTTTCCACCAACTCACCATGTAATTATGTCTAACACTTGCTTTACAATCCAGTTTATGGATCTTGGATGTTTAATGAACAGTTACTTCTCAGTTCTCTGCTATTAAAAACTAAGTAGTTACAACAATTAATTAATAAGACCCGTAGGCTATCCAGAGTCCACAATACTACCAGCCAGGTCATACTCTCCCAGGGGACTTTGTCACCTGAATCGGCCCCACAGCTTAGACGACACGCCCCTTTCTTCCTTATAGACCCTTCTCTGAGGGTACCTCAAGCTGGGGTAGTCAGGCAGAATGCAAAGAGGCGCTGTAGTTACCTGGTGTTCCACCAAGGATGGAAAGCCCTTTTGTAATGACAGGCATGCTTCCCTAAAGTGGAAAAATCTACATATCTATCTATCTACATATGTGTGGATACACACTGCACAGCACATCAGAATTACACACTGCCACCCCTGCCTGCTAATATGAGCTTAGGATTTTTCCAAACCCCTCGGCTGCCTCATTCTTCTCTTCCTAAACCAATTTTCCCTGGCACTCATTTCATCCCTACATCTCAACTCAAGGATGGAATGGTTTTACGTAAGGAGTTTCCCTGTTTCACTGCCCACTGAGATTCCTTCGGAATCCACTCCCACCGAAGCCACTGACTGAGTAGAGAAGTACTCGTGAGCCCTCCAGTCCCATCACTTCATACTCACTGTTACTGGACTTAAGGTCGCGGTGGATGATGGGGACAATTGCCTCATCATGTAAGTAGTTCATCCCTCTGGCAATCTGTACAGCCCAGTTCACCAGGATGTCTGGGGGAATCCTTTTCCCAGATAACACTCTATTCAAAGGCCCTCCACGTGCAAACTCCATGACCAAGCAGAGGTTGGGTTCCTTCAGACACACCCCCCTAAGGGCAATGATGTTGGGATGCTTCAGCATGGCGAAGAGCTTGGCCTCCTGGCGAACATTCTCTATAGTCTGGCTGATGTCCTCATCGGGGTCATGGCGAGCTGCTTTCACGGCAACCTCATCCCCTATCCAGAAAGCACGATAGACCTTCCCAAAGCCCCCGATGCCAATAATCTCTTCCAGGGTTAGCTCCGCAAAATCAATCTCTAACACTGAGAAAGAGAAGAAAAAAAGAAGTCAAAAACATTCTGAAAACACCACGGAATCATCCATTTACCTACGGGTAAACATAGCAAGTTATACTCCCTTGGCTTTTTTGTCTCCCCTCTTTAAGGTAAGCTCCTTCAAGGCAAGAAGTGTGGCTAACCTACTTTGTTACATTAATCTTGACGACTAGCACATAGTGGGCATTCAATAAGTATTCATGTGGTAATTTCTACTTGGAACGTCATGCAGAATGTCATACCATGACAAACCATTTTAATACATGGTAACATAGAGGGAGATCATTTTTGGGAGAATTCTTCATTTTTCTGTGTACTTGATGGTGAGAAGCATACAGTCCAGTGACAAGCCAGACACACAACAACCAAACCACAGTGTGAAAAGAGCCTTCATAGCTGTATGATCAGATTAGGAAACCACCAACTCCCACTGCAGGACAGGATTAAGAGGGTGAGTGGGAAGGGATTCTCAGGGAAGGCAACGCAGGGAATGTGTCCTAAAGAATGAGTGGGAGGGAGGGTGCCTGGCTGGCTCGTTGGTAGAGCGTGCAAGTTTGGATTTCAGGGTTGTGAGTTTCAGCTCCATGTTGGGTGTAGAGATTACTTAAAAATAAAATCTTTAAAAAAAAAATGAGTGGGAGGGATCTCATCAGGCAGCAAAGATCAGGATGGAGAAGGACAATCCAGGCAATGGGAAGGTCATGAACAAGAACAAGAGGTATGAGAATATATCGCACATTAAGAACTTCAAGGAGTGCAGTGTGGCTGGATTATATGTGCCGGGATAGGAGATGAGGCTCAAGGTCTTGTTGGGGTCAGCTAGGTTGTGAAATGGTTTAGAGTCATTCTGAGTGGCTTAAACTTCACACTGTGAATGATAGGACTCATGCATATTTTTTTTAAGATTTTATTTATTTATTTGACAGAGAGAGAGATAGATCACAAGTAGGCAGAGCAGCAAGCAGGGAGAGAGAGGGGGAAGGAAGCAGGCTCCCTGCTGAGCAGGGAGCCCAATGTGGGTCTCGACTCCAGGACCCTGAGATCATGACCTGAGCCGAAGGCAGAGGCTTAACCCAATGAGCCACACAGGCGCCCCAGAACTCATGCATTTTTAAGTAGGGGAGTGCTAGTAGACTGTGACTTAGAGAGGACATTAATTCTGGCAGCCATGGGGCATTTAACCTGGAGGCCAGGGAGCCTTCTGCAAGAGGAACCACTAAGGAGCCACTGAAGTAAGGCAGGCATGCAGGCACAGGGTGCAAACACGAGCAGCAGGAACGACGGAGGGTGGGAAATAAATTGGGAGGATATTTTCCAAACGTGGTTCTACCAGGAGCTGGTGACTAAGATGTGCAGAGAGGAGGCTCCCAGGGGACATCTCACTGCAGAAGTCACCTGCGTCACAGCTCCATCCCTGATGTCCCCAAGTACCACACCCAACCACTCATCTCCTTTCCAATGCAGAGGATGAACCTAAGAGGACGAACCTGATTACATCTTCAGCACCATTTGGAAAGGGATCCATGGCCAGATCACAATGGCCACCAGTGATTACAAAACTCGGGCTAGATAAGGCATTGCTATAGGAGTAAAGTGCTATGTTATGTTTCTCTCATGAAAACCCTGTGCTCCATCTCCTCACTGCCTTTGTCTTTACCTGGCTGACTCATACTCAACCCTCAGGTCTCAGCTGAAACAAAATCTCCTAGAGGAACTTTTCCTAACCCCCGCCTAAATTAGGTCAGGCCCCCATCAAACACGTCCATAACAGTCTGTTTGGCAAGACCCAACAAGGTTTAATAACCTGTTCAGTGCCTGCCGTCCTGCGAGATTGCGCGATCCCCAAGGGTAGACTCTGCCTGCTTTACTCATCACTGTACTCACCCTGCTGAACATTCAGCAGGTAAGCGGCAGTCGAGTAAAAGGGGGGGAAATCTATCTCAGTAGGAAATAAACCAAACTCAGATCTGAACTTTTTTTATTTTTAAATGCATTGGACCTCCTGAAACAGAAAGAATATAGTCAGTTTGCTAAAAAAGAAAAAAAAAAAAAACCTAAGTAAACAAAGATATATTTCTGAACTTTTGGCAAAACCAAAAGAGGAAGTGCCCACTGCTGGCTGTCCTCTTCCTTCCGCAGCCAGCTCCAGGATATCTCCAACCACCACTCACATGCTGGCGGTGCTCAAAACTCTATTCTTTCTTAATTAGAGTTATGTCCGTCCTGCCTAGGGCTGATATTCATTTGTCTTTTACAATGCAAGTGGCAGTATGCACAAAAGAATACAAAAAGTCTAGCCCATCTTGACCCCCAAAGTTCCAACTGTTCAAGCTTTTACCTCATCTGCCGCTCCTCTTAAAAAATAAATGTTACAGCTGGTCCCGCAGACTCACCATCAAATCCACTCAAAAATCCTCTAGCATATCGTGCAGTACAAAGGCCAGAAAGCTAAGAACTACATTTCCCAGACTCTCTGGCTGCTACAGGTCTGCTTCTGCCAATTAGATGCACAAGATAGGGAAGGCAGAAGTGACATGGATACCATCTTCTTGCCGCTTCTCCAGCCAAGCACGGCTTTGGAGAAGTGGGGTTTTCCTGCATGTCAGCGTCCAATCACTAGCTCTGGGCAGATGTAGAAAGGAATGCTGCAAGGCCAAGTGGTTGCCTAAGCTGGACAGCAACTACAACAGGGTGTTCTTCAAATCGACAGCTTCAATGTCAACTCCTGATTCTGTATGTTTCCAATTAGAGAAGTAGTAGCTTGCTGGGTGGGCCAGGTCTGCAGTGTTCTGGGAGTCGTTCTCACAGGTCCAGCTAAAAAGCCCCTTCTCCCTGCCCTTCCAACAATTCTGTAAGCACCCAATTTCCTGTGCTAAATCACTTTCTGCTTAAAATAGCTTCAGTGCATCTGGGTTCTAAAATGAATCCTGATTAGTAATTCTTATCTTGTCTATATGAATTAAAAAAACAATGTGTATACTAAGGAGTGATAAGAAACCCTCTTGGAGAAATATGTAAATTATGTTAGGCGTCTCCTTGGTCATGGAGGGAAGGAACATTCACTTTTTCTAACAGCTTTTACACTGATGAAAAGATATCTGTCTCTTTAACAAGTTTCCATTCACACATCTCATTTCCTCAACTGAATATCCGAATTTTCCTTAACAGAATTAACTGTTGTATTTTCTCTTCTACCTTTCCTCTTTTCCTCTGGTCTGAAGCATAGTTGTGAACACACAAGACGTGTTAAAATTTTTAAATGTATAAGGATTTAAAAGAAGTGATTCCGAACTTGGGTGCTGAAGGGACAGCTCCTTTGATGGCATTTTAGAGAAGACCGAAAACCTCTGCGGGAAAGGGACAGCAATAAACTCGGAGTAGAACAGAACCTCTCAGGTTCTTGCTAACTAGTTAAGGAAATATTATGACCGGCCTTCAAGAAAGGTATAGAACACAGCTTGCAAGTGGACAGAAGACAGATGAGCGGGGCCTGGGGGAAGGTACTTATTTTCCCTTCCCTGTGAAGAAGTCCCTTTGGGTAGGAACTAGACCTTCAGCTGCAGCTGAGAGAATGTGGGGCTCTCCTTTCCCACTGCAGGCAAGACCTGGTTTTAAGTAAGAATCAGGTCAAGTCACATTCAGCACATGTTTCAGTTTCTGTGGATGGATATTTCCAGGAATATCAGGAACAAAACCTTACTTCTTTCATTTTGGCAGTCAAGATGTTATTCTCTCTCAGCTGTATTCTTGAAAACTAGACACATAGGCACATTCCGGTAGGTTTTGGGTAAGTGAATGGCACGTACTTCACTCGTTTAAAAATCCCAAATACAGGGGCGCCTGGGTGGCTCAGTGGGTTAAAGCCTCTGCCTTCTGCTCAGGTCATGATCCCGGGGTCCTGGGATTGAGCCCCACATTGGGCTCTCTGCTCACGGGAGCCTGCTTCCTCCACTCTCTCTCTCTGCCTGCCTCTCTGCCTGCTTGTGATCTCTGTCTGTCAAATAAATAAATTTTTTTAAAAATCCCAAGTACACCTGAAAATATATCCTTAGATTTGCAGTGGATGCTAGAAAAAAAATGTATATTAGTAATAATCTTAATTTATGCCCTGCTTGAAAACAGACACAACACTAAAAGATAAACTTTTTTTTTTAACACCTAGGACTGTATATGTCCCAAGATGATAAATTTGGAACTGTACCTTTTCCCTCTTTCACTAAAAGAAAAGATGACTGAGCTCCTACGTTATTTATATTTTCCAACCCCATGGAGAGCTAAGCTTTCATATCCACGCAGGAGGGCATGAAGTCACTATATAAATATCAGATGATTTCTAAATATCTATTATATTTCCTAATTGTCACAAAATTTGGTAATTTCCCCCTCTTCTGTTTTGAGTAAAGTTTGAAACAAAATTTTCAATTTGAAAAGCATTATTTAAAACTAAAACATTCTTACTTAACTGACAGTCTGCTATTCATAATCTAATGTCACAATTCATGCCCCAGAAGAGAAGTTCAAAAGGGTAACTGGGGAAAAGCTATCAGTGGCTCAATTTCATTCCAAGTCTCTGGAGACAAGGTTGTCAATCACTTTATTTTCCCAGTGGCACTAACTGAAATGGTGGACATAGGACACCCATCAGAGTACCTGTTATCAATTTCCCCGAGTTCATCTTTATCAAAGCATTGTGCCAACATGGTGTATTTACATCACCAATCCCCTTCAGGTGTGACTTATAAGCACCCCCTTATCTTATCATTTCTTTATCTCCTTTTTTTTTTTAAGTTTTATTTATTTAAATAATCTCTGTACCCCGTGGCAGGGCTCAAACTCATTATCCTGAGCTCAAGAGTTGCATCAACTGAACCACCTAGACACCCCTATCTCCTGGAATTTAATACAGTATCTATCTTTCGCTAGGCACTCGAAGAGACTACATAAAATAACTTACCAGGGCCTTCACCTGTCATGTGCAAGTCAATTATTTTCACAAGCACAAAGTACTTCCTACTTTCTTATCTGAGTTCTAGAATCAGGAATCTAGCCTATGGAAGGTAACTTTTGTGACAATAAAGATTAAGTCCTGGGTACCCAAGGGAGAAGGAGCTGCTAACGTAGCACACCCTGGCCACGGCTGGTATTCTGAGTTTTTCCAGCCCAAGTCATATTCACACCTGACTGCTCTGATAGCTGGGTGCACAGAGATGGAAGAAACGGAGTTCCTGCTCATGAGCATTACACACCTCTCCCACTCTGGCATTAGCTGTACAAAAAAAAAAAAAAAATCACAAAACGTAACCCATAAAGAACCTCAAACCTTTGACTTATGCATAAAAAAACTGCATTGTGTCTAATATGCCACACCGTTCTTCCAGTATTTCTTTCAGTATGTGACCAAGTTCATCTTCAGCACTATATCAGACACTACACTAGGACCCTTAGTCGTCACCTTCCCAGTACTAGAGCCAAAAAGATTTAACACCCAGAAACCATTTAAAATCATTTGTTCCCTCCAAGCATGATAAAGATCAAGATGCAGAAACAGGAAGTTTTACACTGAATGTGAGGGAGACAGAAACAAAGGGAACTAAGGATTTGAACACCAATTTGGTGGTCAAAACACCAATAAAGAAGGAGAATAGAAATATAAGGAAAGAGGTTATGCTTTTCTTATTAAGTGATGGTATTTAAAGAAAACATCTTAAAGTAACACAACTGTTCAGGTGAAAGTAAATTACAGAACCGAAAGATAAATGTTACAAATGAAATTTAAAAACTAAATGCCTAAAGTTGGTGCTTGGTAACGATTTTCTTTAATTAACTAAAATGCAAAGTAGACAAAATATTGAGTAAACAATAATAAATACGTATTAACAATACTTTTTAGCAGGGAAGAAATTGTGGGAATAATCAAATATAAAACAGTGTCAACTGCACAAGAAGATATTTACATCTTCTAAAACCACCTAGCAGAACTGATTCAGGGATTCCAATGGCAATTTGACTGCTTTGGAGAAAAAACAAAAACAAAAACAAAAAACAAAGGAAATATCATTGCAGGGTGTGGAACAGGGGGCTCCTGGGAAATTGGTGAAAACCAGGACACTGGAAGAAAGGCCCTGGGAGGGACCCGTGGGCATGGTCCCCTTGAGATTTTTCAAATACCAAATATAGGCAAGGATCTAGGGTGAGAAGAAAGGAGAAAATGTTGTATCTGAAAGCTTGGGTGTCAAGGGACTTGGGATTTAGCCACTGTACCTTGCGCTCCTGATCTCTCACGGGGGAAGGACATACTTTTCCCTCTCCAATCATTTCTCCACCCATCACCACCGGCTTCTTCACACACTCGCACCCTGCTCAGCACATCATTCACTGAGACTCCTAAAGGTACAACTTCTGAGATACAAGACTGCGATCCGAGAAATCAACACGACATTTCAAAGACACTTCAGCCTTGAGTTCGCACGGGCTTCCGGGACTTGAGAGCCAGCCCAGCCAGCCCTGCGGGAGACACCCCCATCCGCTTCAAAGCAAATGCCTTGAAGGGGCGGGGACAGGCCGTAGAAGAGGTCGGGAAGGTCCCTGATTTGGGGACTAAGGTTATGACAGAAACTACCAGCTGGCCTGAAACCCTTCCAGATTTGGGGAAGCCGGGAGTGCGACATGGGGAGATTCTCGTGCTGGGGCTCCAGGATGTGGAAAGCAGCTGAGGTGGTCAGATGAAGGTTAAGAAGCCCAAGCGCCTGAGGTTCCTGGCAAGGCCTGCGGCGTCTCTATCTCACCCATCGCACCCACCAAAGCAGCCCCTGCAGCCCGAGCGCGCGCGCACACACCCATCCCCAAGGCAATCGTTCCCCACCCGCTCTGCGACCCCCCCTCCAGGCCTCCAGCCCCCCCTTCCCCGCCCGGCTCGGCGGCCCCGCCTTCGCCTTACACTGAATGGGCGGGTAGCAACTGGGGTCCTCGCCGCCGTGCTGGCAACGACTGGAGAAGGCGCTGCGCGGGGTCACGTAGTTGCTGGGGAAGATGCCCACCCGCTGGTTCAGCTGCCCGGTCCACCAGCCCTCGTCGCCGGACACCTGCGAGTCCTTGGACAGCACCTCCACCACGTCGCCCAGCCGCAGGGTCAGCTCGTCCTCGCCGGCCGCCTCGTACTCGAACACCGCCGTCCAGTAGGGCAGCGGTGCATCGGAACCCAGCTCCCCCGGGGCCGCCGCCGCCGCCTCCTCCTCCTCTTCCTCCTCCTCCTCGGCCCCGGCCCCCGCTCCATCCTCCCCCGGCGGGGCGGCAGCGGCGGCGCTCGCCAGGCAGCCGAGAAGCGCTCTGGAGGGCTCCATGGAGCGGCCGATCCATAGGGTGCGGGGCTGCCGCCGCCCGCAGGAGCCGCCGCCGCCTATTGTTCATGCGGCTCCGCAGAGCTGGGGGGACCCCCCTCCCCCGACGGCGGCCGCAGGTAGGGCCCGGGCTGGCGGGGCGGAGAGAGCCGGCTCGCTGGGGCTGGCGCGGCGACAAGTGCGCCGAGCGGGAGCGCTCACCGCGGCATGGGGGCGCGGCGGGCCGGGGCCCCCGCCTTCGTGCTCGCCCCCCGGGGGCGGCCTGGCCACCTCCGCCGCGGGTACCTGCTCGCGCAGCCCTAGCCCGCCGCCGCCCGCCGGCCGCCGCTCCCCTCTCCGCGCCGCGCCCCGCCCCCAGCGCCGCCCGCACGCCCGGGACCACCTGACGCGGGCCTGGCTCCGCCCCAGCCCTGCGGACCCGAAGGGGCGGGGCCGCCCGGCGCCGGACCCACCCCCTCCCCCCCAACGCCAACCCGCCCTCCCATTGGCCGCTGCCGGCAGTCCGCAGGTTCCCGTCTCCGCGGCGGGGGCTGCCCCGCCAGCCACCGACCCGCCCCTCTCCACCCCCTGCGCCTACGTGTCTTGCCCCCGGCCCCGCCCCCTCTTGCGGGCTCTCCTTCTCAACCCCAGGTCGACCCATTTCCCTCTCCCATTGGCCCGCGGCACCTCCAACCATTGGTCGGTGGTACCTGTCCATTTCCTGCGAGAGTTCAGCACCTCCTGGCAGGAGGAGGCTGCGGCCCCATTGGATGGGCGCCCGAGAAGGGATGGGTGGATCCTCGAAGGTAAGGCCGAGCCTCCTTTCGGACCCAAAAGGCTGGAGGAGGCCGCGCCCTTTGTTTGCTGTGGTAGCGCAGGGGCCCGGTTGGGCAGCACCTGTGCTCTTGATCCAGAGGTGAGCCTTTGAGAGTGAGCCGAGAAGGGAGCTGGCTCGTACCTCCCCCGCCAGCGCCCTCTCTTCTGCAGCTCCCTTTTACAGTTGGCTTCTTCCCGCTCTTGGGTGGCCCTCTGCCCCCGTACAACTAGGTGGATCCGCTTCCACTCCCGGCCCCACTCCCACCCAGGAAACTTTTCATCTCCGTAAGGCCCTCCTTGGGCCCGTGGGGATGTTCTTCAGAAGCGCTCTCGCCCTTTCACACGGCTCCCTCGTTGCTGGCTTCCTGTGAAAGGAGATCCAATATCGTCCCTTCCCAGAACTCGGAGGGAACCAGAGACCGCGTTACTGGGGCTTCAGACTGAGGCCGGAAAGCTCAGCTTGAAAGCTGTCCGTGAGGAGGGCTTGGTCTCCCAGAACAGACCCAGTTTTCCTACACTTGTGAGTTTCTTTTGCTTGAGTGAATTGCTGCTCGGACCGTGGTGACCTCCAGAAATCAGATAAGAACCAAGATGCCATAGACTTACAAGCCAATGCTACAGTTCATGATGAAGGGCCAATCTTTTCTACATCCTTTTGTTATCCTCGTTTCTCAAACATTAAGAACGAATGACGGGGCACCTGGGTGGCTCAGTCGGCCAAGTGTCTGCCTCAGACTCAGGTCTTGATCCCTCGGTCCTGGAATGGAGCCCCACTTTGGGCTCCCTGCTCAGCGGCGGTCTGCTGCTCCCTTTCCCTCTGCTCTCTCTCTCTCTCTCAAGTATAAATGAAATATTTTTTTTTAAAGAATGAGATAAGTGGACCCTAATATTTCTTCTTTGTTTTAATCCTATCATACTAATGTAAATTTCCAAGGAGAAAGTTTTCTGACCTATTCAAAACAGGTCAGGGCTGGAGGATCTAACCCAGTCTCTACCAAACTGTGTTGCCTTTTCCCCTTCACTGGTATGAACAAACACGATTTGTTTAGCAAGAGTTAGGGCTTCCCCAAGTATTTTCTGTTTAATTTTAGTTTGAGGTTGATCATTAGACAAACTGGGGTCTGTCAGTTTGTAAAAATAATCGGGGCTGGCATCTTCGGCCCTGCCCCCCCCCCACCAGCTGCCTGATCTTGGGCAAGGACTTAGCCCTGTAGCTCATTCTGCTCCCCCTTTATGTGAGGGGTGCAGACTGGAAGATCCCTGTTCTTGTAGGCCCCACATTGCATGGTTTGCATAAAAGTCTGGCATCCCTAGGCATCCCACACCTTTGGAGTAGGTAAGAGTACTGCGCTGGAGAACATCCAAGGTAGGTTTTGAGAAAGGACTTCTGAGTAAATGCCCTAAAACTAATGGTCAGATTCTTATTGTACACAGGATCAGTGAGCTGGAAAAGATATGCATGAGTCTTTAAGTAAATTCTCTTGGTTTCATTCAATCCAGAACAAACTATTCCACCCCCAAGCAGGTAAGTGGGGGTAGAGTTACTCCATTTTATAAGAGACCATAAAAAAAAATAAGATTTTCTTTTCAAGGTTTGGGTTTTTTTGGTGTTTGTTTGTTTGTTTGTTTGTTTGTTTTAGAGAAAGAGAGAGCATGACCAGGAGGAGGGGCAGAGGGAGGAGAGGGAGAAGCAGACCCTCCCCCCACTGAACAGGGAGCGCAACACAGGGCTCAATCCCAGGCCCCTGAAATCATGATCTGAGCCAAAGGCAGACACTTCACCTACTGAGCCATCCAGGCACCCCGTGAAAAAAGATTTTGTTGATAAAATTTTAATTAGGAGGAAAAAGGAACTTCACCTAAACACACACACGCAGAAATAGAAACAGAAACAAAAAAGTAGGAAGGTAGAAAGTTGTCAGTGGTAGATCTCTTTCAAGTAGTAGGATTATGAGTAATTAGGCCATTTTTATTGTCACTTTGCTTATTAGTAATTTCCTATGGTTCACTGTAGCTTTTCTTTTTTTTTTTTTTAAGATTTTATTTATTTATTTGACAGAGAGAGAATAGGAAAGAGCACAAGTAGGGAGAGAGGCAGGCAGAGGGAGAGGGAGAAGCAGGCTCTCTGCTGAGCAGGGAGCCAGAGTGGGACTCAATCCTAGTATCCTGGAATCATGACCTGAGCCGAAAGCAGACGCTTAACTGATTGAACCACCCAGGCACCCCTCACTGTAGCTTTTCTGATCTTCACTCCTTTCCCACCCAGAGAAGAGGGAAAAATCCTCGATCCCTCTCAGTAGGGAAAGTCTAACTCCTCATACAACGTAAATCTTTAAGACCATAGCATGTGTTTAGGACTTCCTGGAGAGTCAAGTCATCAAACATTTCAAGAAGTCATTCAGTAAATGTTTGTCTGATGGGATAAGCAGTAGGGATTCAAATGAGGGAAGATCCTTTGGGCCTAAAGTTGTCTGACAGGGTTTCATGGAAGAGGCAGAACCAAAGCTGGTCCTTAAGGGCTTAGGGGGTGGAGGAGGGAAGAATCTGCCTGAGGGAAAAAGGGAGAGCATGAGCACAGCCATAGAGGTGGGTCCGAATGAGTAGGCTCGTCTGAATTGAAGAAAGAAGGAGGAGGAACTGAACATAGGTTGAGACCAGATTCTAGAGGGCCTCGTAATTGCTTGAATCATACTAATAATTGTTGAGTTGATGATTTGTAATTATTTAATGCCCAGTTTGTTCACCATAAGGGTAGAAACCTGTCTGTCTCGTTCTCTACAATTCTCCCAGCACCCAGAGAGTGCCTAGCGCATTACTTGCTCTTGGTACACGTTTGTGACAGAGTGGTAAACTCGAATACCAAGCTAAGACTCCTGGCTTTTGTTTAGCAGATAAAAGGTCATCACTGAAAACTTTTGCACAGGGCTGTGAGGTAATGAAGTATCTCTGTCACCTAGGACCAGAGGAGATGAGGAATGCATAGAGAGGTGCTTACGCTGAGCATTGAAGGATGGATGTCACTCATGGAGTAGAGAGTAGAAAGTGTGCACATGGAAATTAATGTGATAGACAGCGGTGACAGGAGTACCGGCCTGCAAAGAGGAGAGAGTGTAGGAAGGGAGTCATGGGAAATGAAATTGACTAAATAAAAGAAGGGCCGGTAGCGAAAGACTTTGAAAGTTAGAGGGAATTACCAAGATTTTACCATGGTTGAGTTCTTGGCCAGTGGTTGACAAATATCACCCAAAAAGGACCATTTTGTCTACCACACTGAAAAGTCTAGCATCAGCGGTACAGCTGCACACTAGACTTTTACACTAGATCATGATTTATCCTGGCTCTGTTCATTGAGACAGACTTTGGGGGTGTCTGGGTGGCATCGTTGGCTGAGTGTCCAATTGCTAGGTCCAGCTCAGGTCATGATCTCAGGGTCATAAGATCTAGCCCTGTGTCGGGGGGCTCCCTGCTCAGTGCAGAGTTTGCCTGAGACTCTCTCTCTCCCTCTGCCCCTCTTGTTCATGCTCTCTCTCTAAAATAAATAAATCTTTAAAAAAAAAAAAAGTGTGCGACTTTGGCAAGGTGCCTGTTTAAGCCTCAGTTTCCTTATTGCTTAAATGGGCACAGCAATCGAAACTCCTTTTCCTAGAGGTTTGTAGGGTTCCATGACTCAAGTCATCCAGAAGCTCCCAGTGTGCAGCTTAGCACCAGCTACATAGTCAACGCATTCACTTGCTTCTTTCCGGGGCTCGTCAGTGTCAGAAACAGCTTTCATCACACCCTAGAAAGCTGCAGAGGCTTCTTGACTGGGAGGACTGGGAGGTCCACTATGGCCTTTCCCTCTAGAAGACAGAAGGGAGGGAGAAAGGAGGAGGCAAGGGAGACTAGAAGGGAGTTAGGATGGAGACCTAGGGTTAATGACACTTGTCTGGATCGGTTTCCACAACAAATTGAAAGAGCTCCCTCCACCCAGTGGCCACTAAGGGTACTCTCGGCACTTGGAGTGTAAAATTCGCTTCCATACCCCTCACCACCACACGGTGGCGCAGTTGCCCACCACCGTCTCTAAGAGGGCGTTGCCATGCCAATCCCGACGGGAACAGCCCGCCTGCTGGGCGCTGTATCTCTCCTGGACACCTGTGAGAGCTGCTCATTCATCACATCTCTCTAGTTTGTTTCAATAATAAATAACGAAAATCATTAAATTGATTTAATGAAGCAAGGAGAAGGGGAAAGAAGCAGACCGATGGTTAGGTCTGGAACCCTGGACTCCAACAAAAGTGGAATCCATACTCGCTGATGGCCATCAGGCGGGGCAACCCCCTGGTGTCCCAGACCCCTCTTTAGGAAGCTGGGGATACTAATACGGATCCTCCTGGCCTCCTGGAATGATTACAAGACCCGACGTCTCGTACGTGCTCAGCACAGAGTCTACCAAAGAGTAGTTACCGTCACTTCTGCTTGAGCCTAACATAGGCATTGGTAAGTGAACGTCGTGCTCGCCTCGCTTCTTCTGGGAAATACAGGAGTAACCGCCCC